TGGGAAATAGAGGTATGTTGTGAAATTTTGAATACTCTTGGTTGTTTTACTTTTCTATATGGAGCTATTAAGTTTCGCGTGTCTAAAATCTCATTTACAGGCACAAAAGGCTCAAATGCATATATCAAATGACACAGCTTCCTACTAATAACATCAGTTTGAGTGTCCTTATGTGTGTTGTATTATGATGCTGATTCTTCAAGCAGTGAGTGAATCAAGGTTCTGTCCGGACCTGTTTTGTGAAAACGAAGAAAAGGCATAGCTACAAGGTAGACATAACATAGCTACAGCGATATATCTGGACCTGTTTCAATTTGTTTTATATTGCTCCAAAATTTAGCACCCAGAACGTGAAGGAGGGTACTGTTGATCAATGGAAAAGGAGTGAAATGCACCATATGCCCGGCTCGTATCTACATCTTCCAAGTTTCCATGGATTGGTTCCATATTTGAAACTAAAAAGGGATATTCTAGTCGGTGCAAGAGTAGTTGGAACTTGGAACTGGAGATATTTATTTGAACTTCCACCTCAGTATACCATTCAAGCTAAGCTCAAGTGGTTTGTTTTCAATTTTCATTAATTCCTTGTTTGCTAATTTTCTGGTTCTACAGTACTTGTAAAGCCTGTAAAAACAGTTACACACAATTGCTGCAACAGGAAACCCCGGAATGATAATAATGGACCATTTTGTGATTCACTGACAGATTGAATACCAGAAAGAATTAGGTCGGCCTAAATTCTTGGGCTTCATTAGGGACCCAAGGTAGTAACCCCGCCTGAAATTGGGAATAGCCTTTTAAGCCCAATGAAAGGACATCAGATTTTGTGTTCGCAGGTCCCAGTAATGAGTTGATGTTTATCTTTTCAATCATGGTCCGTCTTCTTATGCACTGCCCCGTCCCCAGCTAATCACAAAAAAAACTATAGCTTCTGTTGTACTTTCCCACCTAATGGGTATAAACTACAGACGCCAAACTTCCAAAACCTATGATAAAATCACCTAGTAATTTGCTAGCTAAAGGCTAAAGGCCAAAGGCAAAAGCATTTCTTACCGAATACAAGAATGTCTCTTTCATGAACGGCTGTAAATAATTAAATATGGATAAGCTTTGTTGATTAAAAGAAAATCATTTCTTTACCATCACTTTGCACCTCGTTAATCTGCCGCTAGCTTCCAGCAGGAAGGAGTCGCAACCCAATTTGAGTTGTCAAATGTGAATCAGAGAGCCAGAAAAGCGAGCTATCGTATCCTGTCGTAGTTGGTTTTTCATTTCTTGATCGTGTCTTAGACTCTTTACGCATTTTATCAAAAAGACAAAAAGAAGAAAGCCCCACTGATGTGTTTACGACTAAGCCCACAGCTGTGATTGCTTTCTAAAAAGCTAGGACCCAAACAAAAAACCAGTTTCTCTTTTAAAGTGGGTTAAATTGTTGTCTCGTACGTGCTTTTTTGTCCCTTTGATCCTGCGTGCTTGTTATCTTCTTTCGCATGTAGGGATCGTTACCTTGCCCAACATAACCTAGCTTTAGACCCTAGACCTAACACTTTGCTCAACTTTTCTTCCACCCTTTGGCACGACTTCCTTCAAAGTGAACAGTTCTCCATTCCCATTGTCACCGACTTTTCTTTCAGGGCATTTGGTGCATGGATGAATGCTAATATGAACCTTCTCACACACGTGATGTAGAGTACTATAGAAACATACGACCATTGGTGCACGTGTTGGCGTGTTACAGTGTTCGGTTATACCAAAATTAAATTAATTTACAGAAATTACTAGAAATTTTGAATCGTACATTACATGAGTTATGATAAATTAAACATAAAATCAATAGCTCCAAACCTAACATATGTACCATATGAATTAATACGTATTGAGAGAATTGGGTGCATGGATATATATTAATATCACATTTCATACATGTCATGTACTAGAGTATACATTTTAATTCTTCATATATGAACACAGGATACATCTCTTAGGTTGAACTCAAAAATCAGTGGGCATCAATTAATCATTGATCATGATGAACATTAATGACCTATTTACAAGTAAATTACCGGGAATGTGTTAATTCAAACTAGTTATGTTATGTATTTACAATTACATTTATTCATCAAAAAATAAAAAAAAATTAATTTTTCCTTGTGTATGTATGTATGTACAGTTGGATGAAGTAGTAGAGAAGTGACTGCTAATTAATTTGGATATCATCTCAGCCACAAAAACAAATGCCAACTTATTGCTGTTTGTGGTGACCCTATATTCAACCAAAAAAAAAACGTATTGGTGTTCGAGTATTGTACAAATCAGAAATCATATCTTCATTCAATGTATTGTTAATGCATAGATTAATTAATATATCATCATAAATCATAAACGGTCATTTATTATCATCAACATTTTTTAATTAAAAAATTTGTAGAGTTCAAAAATTCAATAAAATTATACTATGGGTTTTTGGATCGTGTATAGAAATAATTATACAAAGCACCACCAATTATGAATTATAGATAAAATCAGTACCTCTAGCATATGAATTGATCTTGGTCTGAAATGAATATGTACAAATTCAGACAGAGAGACGAAGCAACATCATTTTTTACACAAATTGTTAAAACACCAAATTGGAATAATTTAGAAATTGGCTTCAAGGTGTGTATCAATACCATACATAGTAATATTTAAAGAAATCATTAATGAATGTGGCAAAATATTTCTTTCTAGCTAATGTAGGTGTATGCATATCACACACATCACTATGTATTAATTCAAGTTATTTGGTATTTCTTTTAACTTTAGGAAAAGGATTTCTAGTTATTTTTGTTAGCATGCATGTATTGTGTTTATCAATATTTAGATTAAATTTTGAAATTAAGTCTATTTTATACATGTCATCCAATCTTCTATAATTTAAATGTCCTAATCTATAATGTTATAAATAAGAAGATTCAATCATATAAGCAGAAACAACTATTTTATTCTTATTATTATTAACAATATTTGATTTGAACATTTCATATCACATGTAACCTTTCCCAACAAATATTCCCTCCTTAGACAAAATGAATTTATTTACCTCAAATACAAGCTTGAAACCAAACTTATTTAATAGACTTCCAAGTACTAATTTTTTCTAACTTCTGGAACATAGTAAACATCTTTCAAAGTTAGAATTTTTCCATAAGTGAACTCAAGCTCAACAGTCCCCCTTACCTTTAACGGTTGCTATAGTAGAATTTTCTGTGTATAGGAAATTTCCATAGTCACTTGGAGTGAACTTCTTGAACAAATTTTTGTCAATACACACATGTTTTGTTGCTCCTGAATCATTCCACCAATCATCATTTTCTTCAACCATATTGATTTCAGAAATCATAACTACAAAACTTTCAAAAGCAGCACCATTTAAAAAAGTAATTTTCTTTTTCAATAATCGACATTTCCTTTTGAAATGTCTTAGTTTTCCGCAATGAAAGCATTTGCTTTTGTTCTTTCTTTTGAATTTTGGACTATTAGCACTGAATTTTTTTTTTTTTACAGGCTTAGTAGCCTGTCCTTCTTCCACAACATGTACTTTAGCTTCACTAGAAACAGCAACTTGTTCTTGTTTCCTGTATTCCTCTTCAATTCAAAGATGATTTGCCAAAACCTCAAAAATTATTTCTTTCTTTTTGTATTTTAGACTTCTTTTAAAGTCTTTCCATGATGAAGGAAGTTATAATGGAGGATGCAACTATAATTTCATCCATTTTCATTTTATATTATTTAAACTGATTAAATATTCTATCAATTTCTCATAGTTGTTCTATAACAGAACGTCCATCAATTATTTGATAATTAATAAAGCGACTAACAAGAAATTTCTTACTTGTTGCATCTTCTGTCATGTACTTGGCTTCCAGTTTGTTCCATAATTCGTTTGCAGTAGCCTCGTTTTGGTATGTGTCAAATAGGCCATCTGCCAAACCATTCAAGATGTGACTTTTGCACATATAATCGACATTGTCCCATTTTTGCCTCTCTCTCGTTGCAGCAACAGACTCATTTTCTCTTTCTTCTAGTTTAGGTGCAGTCAAAACATAGACAACTTTCAAAGTTGATAGTAGGAAATCCATATTCTTTTGCCATCTTAGAAAGTTGTCATCATCAAACTGATCTAATTTTACAAAGTCAGAAGCTAATTCTTTTAGTGTTCCACTTACCGCAGCCATTGTTGAAATGAAAATAAAACCTTAAAATTGTTAGAACACCATACTGGAAAAATTTAGAAATTGGCTTCAAGACATGTATCAATGCCACTATCTTTAAAGTTTTATTTGCCTCCACTTGTAATATACAAAAGAGTTACCGACGTATAAACCTCGAAGATACAATGAAGTTCAGTGATTGTTATCGATGTATAAACCTTGAAGATACAATGAAACTCAGTTATTGACAGCGTTTTGTACTAACGAAATCAATCCACTGAGCACTCACTGGAGCATAACAAGATTATCAAACTTTTATAGTATTTTTTTATAGAAAAATAGTATTGAAGAAAATTGAGAAATTTTGAGAAAGGAAGAAAAGTTTTTGTTTTCTGATATACGTTCTGTTGGATAAAGAGGGTCTTCTTTTATAGACTTAGATGCTTATTCCCAATAGACATTGTTTGTGTGAATTGCTCTTATTGATCTTTTCCAACAGACATAACTTTTTTTTCTTATTCTCTTTTATTTATTTATTTTTATTTTCAACAAATATAACCTTTTTTTATTTTAATTTCCAACCATCATAATTTTTCCTTTTATTTTGATATAAAATCATATCCTTTATTAGAAAATGTCCAATACAAATTCATCAAACTTTTCCCACCTAATTGGGCAAGCCAAGAATTGACCATCTTCCTTATTTGTACCGACTACAATGGAGCCAATCCCTTACTCCTTTGGAGTCTCAATGCTATCCATACACATTTCCTTATATCAAGGTATCGTATGTGTGTTCACCACCGCCACTAACTATATTTTCTTAAATGACTCTCTCTCTCATAAAAGGGTATGGAAGGAATATTGTTCAATAAACTAAATTCTACTATAATCTCTTCCTTTGGTTAGAGTTAGACAAACCCAAGATTCTCTCTAATGGACAGTATCCATAGGAACGGGGACGAGTTCCATCTACCTTTGCTAACAGAATCAGGACCAGAGGATGAATCAAAAGAAGAAGTGGTCATCAAAGATCTGGCACTAGAAAAGGACTTGACTACAAGGCTTTGGATTGAAACACAGAAGCTATGGATCATCGTGGGACCCTCCATCATCAGCCGCGTTGCATCCTACTCCATGAACATTATCACCCAAGCCTTTGCAGGCCACCTTGGTGATGTTGAGCTCGCTGCCATTTCCATAGCTAACACTGTCATAGTTGGCTTTAATTTTGGCCTCTTAGTAATCAATCTCTTCCTCTCTCAAAGCAACAAAAGATTGTATTCTTTCAGTTTACATTTTACATTTTGTCTCTAATATTTTTTTTTTTGGGGTGGGGGTGGTGATGTGGGGATTTTGACCAACAGCTAGGAATGGCAAGTGCTTTAGAAACGCTTTGCGGTCAAGCTTTTGGTGCCAAGCAATATCACATGTTAGGGGCATACATGCAAAGATCATGGATTGTTCTATTTCTTTGCTGTTTCTTGCTATTGCCCTTCTACGTATTCGCCACCCCGCTTCTGAAACTTCTAGGACAGCCAGACGACGTGGCGGAGATGTCAGGAGTCGTGGCAGCTTGGATGATCCCTTTGCACTTTAGCTTCGCGTTTCAGTTCCCATTGCAAAGGTTCTTGCAAAGCCAGCTCAAGACTAGCGTGTTAGCCTATGTCTCTTTTGTTGCCTTGGGGTTCAATGTGTTGACGAGTTGGCTATTCGTAAACGTCTTGGATTGGGGAGTTATCGGTGCCTCCGTGGCGCTGGACATTTCGGGGTGGGTGGGGGTTTTGGGGCTTTACGCGTACACTATCCTTGGAGGCTGCCCTTTGTCATGGACAGGTTACTCCATACAAGCATTTAATGGCCTCTGGGAGTTCCTTAAACTCTCTGCTGCTTCTGGAGTCATGCTATGGTATATCCAATAAAATTTCATTCTTCTAATTTGACCAATCAGTCATTTCTTTCATCTGGTTCTTTTCCTTTGCAGCTTGGAGAATTGGTACTATAGGATACTGATATTGATGACTGGGTACCTGCAAAATGCCACCTTGGCTGTGGATGCCTTGTCTGTCTGGTATGTCATTACTCATTAATTAATTCCTGATTCCCATGCAATATACCTTCATAAATAGCAATTTTTTTTCTGTACTTTTCAGTCGAATTGAGAGTATGATTAGTCACAAATAGGAATTCTTTCTAATATTAATTACTGATGAATTACATTACGTATTATTGTATCAGATTAAGTCCCTACTTTAACCAGAAAATTTTGGAGAAAATAACTCTGACTCTCGTGCCTTTTGTTATATTTTCTCTGAAACTATTCATTCATCAACTTCTAAATTGGACTTAGTTGTCCTTTGGCTGTTATGATTTGGCAGCATGAGTATCAATGGATGGGAGATGATGATTCCAATGGCGTTCTTGGCTGCTACAGGGTACGAAACAATTCTCAATCCCATTAATTGTACACCCTAGTAATTAATATTATAGAGTATTGCACACTAATAATATTTGACCATTTGTCACAAAAGGACAACCCTTCATCTTTTGGTCAATTCTCCAATCGACTCTCTAACCATCTTTTCATATCTTTGTAAAACTCTAATCTTTCACTTTGTTGACTAAGTTTGATAATAGTAATAGGTAAAGGGGCTAGCAGAAACTTTGACCTCTGTTAGAGTACCAAAAACGAATTTGTCTTCTAAGAGATAGAATTGCATATCTTCCTAGGACAAATACATTCTTCAAGTTCATAATGTCATTATGACTATGACCTCAACATCCGAATGGCAATCCAAACCAAACTAGGATAAATAATTAGCATCTATAATGGAATATAACTTAGCCAAAACCAATTTCTCCTTTCTCTCACAAATCTTTGATCTTAACAAATAAAATATGAACCTGATAAAACTAATTGTAATTGATATTGGCAGAGTAAGGGTGGCAAATGAGCTTGGAGCAGGCAATGGCCAAGGAGCCAAATTTGCAACGAAGGTTTCCGTGGTGCAATCGACAATCATTGGCCTTTTCTTCTGCGTTCTTATCTTCATCTTTCGTGACAAGGTGGCATTGATTTTCACTTCAAGTTCTGATGTCCTCAAAGAGGTTGATAAGCTTTCATACCTGTTAGGCGTCACGATTCTCCTTAATAGTGTTCAACCAGTTTTATCAGGTGACTTTCCCTCCTAAGACGGGCCAACTAAGCATTCAATTGATTAATACTAAATTTTAGATACATGTTTTCTTTTCTTCACTGTTGCAGGAGTGGCAATCGGATCGGGATGGCAATCAACTGTAGCGTACGTAAACCTTGGTTGCTATTATAGTATTGGACTCCCACTTGGATTTTTGATGGGATGGGTTTTCCACTTGGGTGTTACGGTAAGGCTTATCCCCTCCTTCACCATTGGATACAAGTATCTGCTCCTAGTGAAATATCTGGGATCGATGTTAACTATTTACATTGCCCTGGAAATGTTGACATCCTCTTTGTTGTGGTAAAACCAGGGCATTTGGGGTGGGATGATCTTTGGGGGAACTGCTATTCAGACGGTGATTTTGGCCATATTAACAATGCGAAGCGACTGGGAAAAGGAGGTAGAACTTGACGTACCTCAACATTGTTGATGTATTTATTTCATTTAAAGAGTGACATTGTCTCATTTGTCATTTGTTGGAATTAATTTTACAGGCTGAAACAGCCAAGCAGAGAGTACAGAGGTGGGGGGAATGATCAATCAGAGGACAAACATTGAAGGGAACTAGTCCCCCTCATGGTAGATGAAATCTTGCGCAGTTATTAGTGCCCTCCGAATTTGGGAGCTTTTAATTATTTATGGGAAATTTTGTTACATCACACTCCAAGAAATATATATCTTCCATATCATTGATCATTGTTTTCTTGAATGAAAATCTCCTGCCGCCATTGGTGTCCCTTTTCCTACCCCTTCGATAATATCGTGTCGTGTTCTCTCACTAATAATGGTACTAAGACTACTTTGATTTCAAAACTCAATTCTTTCCCATTCATTAATTTTTTTCCTTACCTTCTCTTTTATGTTGCCTCTTTCTCTATCACAAAACATTACTGGTTAATAAGAGGAATCTTTCTGTGGGAGAGAAAAGGAATATGAGAGAGAAAGGAAGGAAAAAAAATTATGAATGAGAAAGAAAGTTTTGAAAATAAACAAGTTTTAGTATCATTACTAGTGAGAATACAAGAATCCAAATCCTCTACCCCAATCCCTGCCCCATTCTGTGCTCCTTCGGCATGTATCTATCATTTTAATTATTAATTAATAGATTTAATCTTTTTATCTCTTATTTCCTCTTTTCTTCCTCTATCAGCAGATTGTTCATAAATGGTGACCTTTATGCTTGTTTGTTTCGGCAAGAAGAACATGAACTTGTCTTTTCCTATCGTCATCGATGCAAGATAAGATTTTCTTTTGCTGTGAGAAAAACAACAGAAACCCAAATTTTGCTCTCAAGATAACAGAAGAAGAAATCAGATTTTACCGTGAAAGTAATCAAAAAGAAGGAAAACAAAAAAAGGCAAAACCCAAATTCTACTCTCAGGCTTAGCAATCCCTCTCTCTTCTGTTTTGCTGCTCATAAATCCTAAATAAATAAATTCTTTCTTCTCTCTTATCCTAATTCTCCACATCTATCTATCTCTTCCAAACAGTTTTATTATCAGTTCATGCATCTGGTCGTAAGGGAGATTAGCAAGGAAGAACGATGATATAATTGCCTACTACTGTCGGTTTAACTCACAGATCCAGTCGATATCAAATTGTATCTTTCATCGTAATATCAACCAGTAAATTGCGATATCGCAATATAGCAATATCTGCTACTGATACGGGGGAACAATCGTTTTGTGAGAAAAAAAAAAAAAGAAAATTAAACTCAAACATGTATTAATTAATAATTAAAAGAAAACAAGTGTTACTTTGTCACTGAGGGGACGCAGAGTAGGGCACTGATTGGGCGCATAGGATTTGGATTCGAGAATACACATGACATAATATTATTGAAGGGACAGGAAAAGGGGCACCCATTGGAGCAGGAGATTTTCAGTCTGTTTCACATAAGCAGACCCAATACAGTAACATGATTGGGCTTAAGACTTACTAATTGGGTTTCGATGGAAGTCTAAATAGGGAATTAAACTTCTTTCTGAACCCGGATTGGGCTTATGACTTGCAAATGGGCTTTCTGCTTTGCATGGAGTAAGCAGGGTGCATGGTCTGACAAGCTTAAGAAGCAAAAATACATCTAGTAGTCCGATTCTGTGCCTAAAGGCCACTTTTGTAAACTACTCTATTGCTTACTAGAGATCAAGCTATACGCAGAAGTATCTTACTATCAGTTTCAGTTTGATCTTAATTTAAGAATCTTTGCTTCTCACTTTCTGTCAAGAATCAGTTTTAGTTTATATATATATGTATATATAGAAGCTAGTAACAGTGCAAGAGGATCTAGTGTGCCTAACTCTTTGCGGAGAATGTTTGGGCCATGATCTGTTTGCCTCATTGTTTATGCATCAGCGACTCAAAGCTTCGTTGGTGGATGGTTGTACTATTTATTGGTCAGAGTTCAGTGTCTACAATGAACGAAGGCACAAATAAAAGAGATCAAAACAAAAAGGAAAAAGACAAAGGGACTCAACACACCCACTTCTACGATATTAAGTTCTCAACATTATCAACATAATTATGTGTTGTCATGGGCAATAGCCATTCATTCCTATTGGTAGATTGCTAAATTGAAACTTCATTTTCCCATTTTATTCATCATAATCGATTCCCACTGTTAATGCTTATTATGAATCTCAACAAAAAATAAAAAAAAACAGAGACTTGTAGGTGCTTCCAATCAATCTCAATACTATATATGTATCTGGAACCCAGTAGACAGGACTAGCTGGTATAATAATGGCGATAGAAACAGGGAGAGCTTTTTCAGTGTTCGTTAACAATCTGGCTGCAAAATCATTACAAGAAATGATTGATCGATTGGAATCCATTACACCTCAAATGATTATGTACACCATGTTAAAAGAAAAAAGAAAAACATATACAGCAAGGAAAAGTAATTAACGGCGAAAAACAGGGGAAGGGACCCAGTCAAAACCCCACCACCCACCTCCCAGGAGACACCAGCCAGGTCAAGTTGCTCGACCCGTCCCGTCACCCATCGTAATCGACAACATTTTCCACTGTTTCTTCTCGTCCATGATTACCGCGAGTTTTGCCTTGGTCTCTTGTACCAAATCCCTCAAGTCATCGTTCCTGTTTCTATTCACCAACAGCACAGATATTCTATCCTTGCAATCCTCGAACCTGTTTAAGGAGTTTAGGAACCGAGTGCCCTCGCCAAAGCTCAAACTCATCATTCTCAGTCCGAGTTCGGCAACTCGGAGAGAGATTTCACGTTGGACTAATCTATAATTTTCACTGACCGATCTAACAACCTCGTACACCAAACTCTTCCGTTGCAGGTAAAGCGAATGGGGTGCGTTACCTACGTGTTCCGCGAAATTGACCAGAACATCCAACTCGTTTAGTAAATCCGAGTTCCACAAAGCCATAAGCTTGTCTTTTTTATTACCGTCATTCTTCGCACTTGAAGAATAAAGGTGATAACCTAGGACTCCGGAGACCATCAAATTTAGTTCCAACACTCCACCGTACCATCGGACCCATGTTGACATTTCCCACATTTCCGGGTCGGAATCATCTCGAAACATCGATAAATTAAGAAAATTTCGACCCCCAGAGCAAGGATAAACAGAGAGCTGGTCTTTCAAGATAAACGACCCTCTCCCTATGATATTATGGATTGTGTAGAGGCATTTCAGGGCAACATACGCATTACTCGTGCGATGCAGTCGGTCCATGAGAGCTTGGATACAAGCGCATGCAGTGGCGCGTGATCCATGGCCAAGGGCAATAACAGCGGCGATACGATTATCCGTCGGTGGGGCGTAGAATCTGTGGGTGGTGGCGCGTAGAATCACGCGACGAACGGAAGATTTGTGGCGCTTCGTCGACAAGTTTGTTTTGATCAAAGACGCCTTGTCCTTCAGAATTCCTAACACAATTCTTAGCTTTTTCTGACAAACCATCGAAATCAGAAACAGAGAGATGACAGCACTAAAAAAATCTAGTGTAGAAGAAGAAAAGAGATACCGACCGTTAGGTTCATTAAAAGGACGATAATTTATGACAAACTATATATACATAAAATAGACACGCAAAGGTGTCGTTGATTAATTAAATAAAATAATTACATACTTTTATCGTCAATCCTCCACTTCACGGTTTTGCTCTTGTTATTATCCAATAAGGAAATTGTTTGACAAATTTGGCCAAAAGGAAAGTCCCGCGATGGAGCGGTTTCACCGTGTTTAGGAATATTTGACATCCGCATAATGTCTAATTCAACACTCTGGAAAAAGTGCGAAAAGGTTAGGAAAATTCGATTAATGCATGTTTATATAATTAACTATGGCAATCTGGGCTAGGTCTATGATCACGAGTATGACGTAATTGTGAATAAAACTATCACGAAAAAAGTAGTTCTTCACCATTTTTTTTCCCTTTGCTTGCTAATATATCCATCTTGATGGGAAAAAAGATTCATGCCACGATTCCTATCTCGCTAGTCGACCTCTCAAGTCTGAAATCTCAAATTTCAATTTTAGCGGCGTTATTATTTCAATCATGCATCCATCTTTCTTGATGGGAACAATGATCAGGATGTTACATGAGCAATAATGAGGTTCTTATAAATGAATAGGATGGATATCCTATTCAAATACGGAGGTGGTCCAAGCAGGATTTCCCATTGAGACTTTTACTTTGTTGAAGCTCCAAGTACTCCCTATATTTGATTCCGCGATAGGCCGGGAAGAATTGGCCGACAAAATCCGTCACCAGCTCTGCTGCGGGGCTTACAATTGTGTCAAGAGGAGGTCCATGTGCTGTCCCTATCGATATCCTTGTTGCTTTGTTATTCACCACAGCTCTATGCACCACGCTCTTATACTTCCCGTTGGTCAGTATCTAAAATTGGCAGACAGGCCAATGATAATATCCGTTAAACAACACCATGATCAGCCTAAAATAACTCTCTCAAACCTAATGGTTTCCCCAAAAAAAGTTATCTTTCTCCCTTTCAAATCATGTATACTTTTTTCAAATTGGAAACGTATATCATGTTCACTTCATCACATAAAACTACAGGATTACTGTAATATAGTATAGTTTCTATGAGAACTCCCCTTCCCTCAACTTAAGTATCAAAAAGGTTAAAAATAAAAATAAACTCCGAAGTTTCTCTGGTATATATATATATAGGAAGGCATACCTCCATATGATCTCCGGTGTTGACAAGAAAAGAGTTAGGCAGGGGATTGACGGGAACCCACTTGGCATTGTGCATTACTTGAAGGCCTGCAAGCCCATTTTGCATGAGGATGGTGAGGAGTCCATGATCCGAATGGGGAGGTAGACCCATCGAAAGCTCCGGCTGTGGACAAGGCGGGTACATATTTGCAACAAGCAGCTGATGGGAGTCAGCAGATTCTACTGCCATTTTCTCATTTATGTAGCTTTCTTCCAATCCTAGGCTTTCAGAGATCCCTTTAAGCAGCTCACTCGCCATTTCTCGAGTTCTTTTGCAGTATTCTTGTAGAACCTTGCTGTTAAAAGCAAGCGAAACATCCGCCATTAAGAGTGACCACTCATTAAACAAAGTAATTAATACTTTGAAGTTTGAAAACAAGTAAAAATTTAAGTATCTAATCAGATAAATAATTTTTTTTGCCACAAAAATTGATAAATATTTTTGGATGTTGGATTGGCAAAACTTGCATGTAGATCAAAGAAGACGGGAGTGGCAATAATGGTTTGTAACGTGGCCACATGCCACTGGGACCAAACCCGACAACATCGTACCTTCACAAAGTTACGATGGAAAATGAGGCGTCAGAATCTATTGGTGAACAAGGCTTTTTGTTTATCTAATTGAATCTTGGTGTGGTGGATGCCAGTTAAGATATACTGGTAGTATCATTTAGAATAAGGTTAGTAAGTATTTGTAAAAAATCTTGTACTATGTCGTGATCAATATAAAATTTTGCTGTGACCAATTGGTCATTTTGTCGAATTTTTTACCAAACCATCAATTTAATTTGATGAAATAACTTCTGAGCGCTTAATATATATACCTTATCTCGTGTCTATATTACGTAGCTGTCCTATATTTATTTGGAACTGTACTTGTTTTTCAAGGCTCGATGATTGTATTGAAGCCCGACCGAACCATAGATTTTTTTTTCATTAAATTTCTTCTTTTAAAAATAAAAATGGAGTTGTGGTCATCCATGACCCATGCATTAGAGTGCAGGTATGCTGTCAAGCCAACACTCAGATGTTGAAACTTTACCCGAAGCCAGAAGGCTTGTTAGGAGCACTGAAATGGGGATGAACGTGAACCTTGAGGTAATCCCTCCAAAGAAGAACCTTATCCACCTTCGGATTGAAGCTCGTTCCACACCTTATCGGATCAAACAGCTTCTTCCCTGTGTACTGTCGCTTTTCCTCCCCTGCTAAATCGAAGAAACCTTCAGTTGCCCTTATCATTTCATTTCTTAACGTCTCTGGCACTCCGTGATTTATTACCTGGAAATTAATTAGATACCCATACTAAGACATTTTCCACAATAGAAAAATTATACACTATGTAAACTGAACTGATATATCATTTTACCATGAAGAATCCCCACTCCTGGCATGCATTGCCGAGTTCATTGATGACTTTGGACCGCTCATCGGGATTGCCAGATGTGAGAAGGGAGAAGTCTATGGTGGGGATTGCTTCTAGTTCTGTGACCATGCAATCATCAGATTCTGTATTTTTGAAGACATACTTCTGAGGAAGAGAAGTGAGACAACCTGATTCAACTAGTTGTTTTACAGAAAACATTTTGAGAATATTCTAAGTTAAAATAGAAGAAGCTAGCCCGTAAAAGAAAACTCAGAAGTTTAGGGCTTTCGAGCGACTCTCCCTGCTAGCTATTGGCCTTCTTATATAGAGGAAGTTATCGGGCATTGGGCATAGAGAGATGGGACAAGAAGATTGATGACGATGTGATAAGGTATCTCATACTTTACTATCTCGTAAAATGAAAAGTAACGTGGTAACTACATGTAAGCAATGTAAGCAATGATTTTTTCTTTAGCATTTAATAATGACATTGAATTCTTTGTAAAATAATTACTGATATTAAAGTAATTCGAGTGAATCAGTAGTTTAGATAGAACAGTACTCTATGCATATATTCTTTATCGACAACTTCTTTGTTTGAAGAATAAAATTAACACTCTCTCTCTTCTTTTCTATATATATATATATGGGTCAGGGTAAATCTAAAAAGAAAAAAAATAATAAATCTAAAACCAGTGTTTGCTCCAAAAAGAAAAAGGGTACAAATCAAACAACTTAAAAATCGTCTTGTTTCGAAAATATAGAATTAATTGAAATTCACCACAAAATTTTTGACTTACGTAATCTGTGAAGGCATCATGTCGTTTGCAGAGACAGAATGTCTAAGTCAACGTATGGACTAATTACCTTATTGTCGCCGGTTTCAATATGTTGAGCATGTGGCTGCTATTGGCTTGTCATGCGACTTTTGATATGCAGTTATCAAAAGTTAAAGATGTTAAGTGTTCCAAGTGTACAGATAAATCTGGGTTACTTATCAAAGGAACCATTCAAATGAGTTTGGTGCGAGACATGCGGTGCTATCGCTAATTAATGCAATGGGCACATGTTTCATGCATGTGGGTTGCAAAGCAACCCAAAAAAAATATCTCATTTTTAATTAATGGACTGATTTTACTTTTTTATTTAAAACCTAACTATATTGTAATTCTTATCACATTTTTACCTATTTGTTCATTTTTAAATAATTATGTATTTGCTTTTATCAGTCGTTTTTGCCATATGTATAAACTAGGTATGATTCTTAAAAAAGCTCTTGAACTATCAACATAATTTAAGTAATTTTTAATTTTTTATTATATTTAGTTAAGTATTTGTATTTTTATTTTAATTTAAATTAAATTTTTTAATTAATTATGACTAGTTAAAACATCACTTATTATTTTATACCACTTAATGTTGACATAACATATTTAGAGATATTAGTTGTAGACCTTTGACAAAAACATGACGTGGCATGTTTTAAGTGAATGTCTAAAAAAACATTTTTAAGATCATTTTAATATAATTTAAATTGATCTCTCTTTTAGAAGCTGAGATTTCATGTCCTTATCCAATATAAATCCTTCCATTATGATTAATTAAAGGGAAAAGAAATTAGTTAAGAGTATATGTATGTATGTATGTAGATATCTAGTTACATCCCATCAATCACTATGGATTTGGTTGTACTTATTAATCTTATGGCAAACTATACTGGAAGATGATGAAGTACATAGCTATCAACCAAGCACCCTTCAAGAACCTGATTGCCCTTTTAGGCCCTTTTCCAATTTCCATGGTGGTAAATTTTGACAAAACCGATATTTCTCCTTTTTTTTTATAGAATAAAAACATTATTCTCTTTTCCCTCAATTTCGAGCTCCAAAACAACCGTCTTACCACAGACGAAAGTCAAGCTCTAAAGTTTGCCGACCAACTCAGAAACATGTGGTTTACAATAAACCATAGAGAAAATTTCCTCATGGGAATAAATGAATCTTATGTATGGTCTCATCTGTTTGCTCGTGCTCAACGTGGAAATCGAGGACAACACGTGGTGTTCGCTTGTAGGGGGTTACAAAAATCTCCATCACCAAAACGAATCACAAGTCCAAGTGGGGCAGTACTATGTATGTTTGTCTAGTTAATTTAAAGACATCCTACTTGGAATAATGATTGTCACAAATAATTTCTATGATTTTTGAGATGATATTGACGACGAAGACTAGTACTGGTTCGTTACTTTTCTCGAGCCGAGGTTGAGGGGAGGAAGAAAAAGAAACGAAAAGGGAAACAAGAAAGACACCAACCAAGCTTCACAAAATATATCTTTATCACCAAGAAAGTTTCAAAGAATTATGTGGTCGAAATATAAGATGTTGCATCAATTATTATTTTCTATTTACATATTAATAATGTAAAAAATAAAAAATATTATATAATTATATCACCATTCATTATAATAATTAATACGTAAAGTTAACGTTAAGTGATATAAAATGATAAACATCATTTCGACTAAATTAATCATAAATCATATGAATTTATTTGGTTCAATAAAAAAGTATAGAGACGTGATTAAATGCGATAGAAGAATAAGAATTTATTCTTAAATAGTTTAAAAACTTTTTTTAGATATTATATCGTTATTAAACATCTTTATTAATTAATTTTTTTAATAATTATTTAAGTATATGCATTGCCTTATGAGAGAACTCACGAAAAGTCACCATGCTAATTAATCCTCAGGCTAAGAAAATTATCGACTCTCCATGCCAATTAGCTTTGGTGTTGATTTTAACATGCAAAACCTACTTTTCATCAATCATTTTCGGATCATTTTCACAAGTTTAATCAATGACAAAATCTTCTTTTTCCCCACATGCATGTAAAGTAGTGTTGAAATTCAATTGCTAAACATTGCATATTACACATGAACTTTTTTTTTCATCCATTTAATATATGTATTTGTGCAATAGAGGGGTATGAGGCTTAATAATAAGTCATATTAGTGTCATTTCCTTATGATTGTGGCTTTGAAAAGAAGGTACTTAAATTATAGATTCTTGTTTTGGATTATAGATTTATCCCTCTCATTACTATTATGATGAATGTTTTTTTTAAATATATGTTATGTATATCATTGATTCACAATAAAGATACAAAAATTAGATGACGTCTCATAAACAAGACATGCAAAAGACTCACATCAACATACAATCCTACATTTACGGAGCTGATTTTAGCATAAAGCCAGCAATGCCCTTGCCTTAGATCTCACAATTTTGTAGGTTCCATAATTTTATATAATATAGTTAATTATATTAAATATATAAAAATTAAAATAATTAATAAAATATTTTCTAAATTACATGTCTATTTAATATTCACTTTCTTTTACTTTTTAGCTCCTTTTAATTCTCAATTATTTATCTTACTTCCTCATTTATGTATAAGTCAAAATAATTAATAAAATTACATATTCTCTCACTGCTTCTAATTATATGCTTAATTAATTTTTATTTTTTATCACTTTTTAATGTCCATAATGTTAATAATTTTCAATTATTTTTTCTATTTTCAAAGAACTTAATATGTAGTTTTTAATGATCTCCAACTAATGATAATTTTTTTTAAATTTCAATAAAAAAAACCTCATTTAAATTTTTATTTTTTTTGCTCAATAAAAGGTCACATTTAAATATTTAATGGCTTTAGACCTTTAAAGATATTGAGCTGCCTTTGTACATCTATAATCTCCAAAAACTCTATACACAAAGACCACCCAATTAGAAACAACAAAAGTTAAATCACCAGTATTATTATGATTATTAAACCAAACTTAATTAAACAAAAAAAAAGGGAAGAAACTATGACCTAACTTGGTATGTTATCATTTATCGACATGTTTTTGTCATAAAAAGATTCTCCTATTATTCGTTGACAAAGTTAAAAGAAAACGTGTATGCATGCAACAAGAGACAACATTAATTAAAAAACTGAAATTAAAAACTTTGCTCTCAAGTCTCCCCTAATTAATTTTATTTATAAATATTAATATAAGTAGTGACGGAGGCAGAATATATATATATATATATATATATATATATTCATATAAGAAAGGGGAAAGTTATCAATGGGGTTATAGATAATAACTCACACGATTAGATTTTTGAAGTCTAAAATCCGTATTTATAAGATCCGACCTCATTTTTATCACTTGAGTTAAATTTAAATACAAAAAATATTTTTGTTCATGACCCAAAAGTGCTTGATGGATGTAATAAACTATATATTATTGATTCATCAGGCAGGTATCGCAAACTCCCAAGAAGTCTAAATAAAAGCTGGTACAAGGAATACTAGGTCAAATTTTCAGCCCAAAATATAATACCATATTGTGACATAGATGTGAGTAATTAGACCTCGGAAGCCCGATCAAATAGGTTCTCTTTGGGCTTAATCATGGACTTGGACCTTTCGAGTTTTAACAAACCCTTTACTCCATTTATAATATCAAAAAACAAATTGAAAAAAAAAAAGAAAAAAAAAAGAGGGTAAATCTTTCACTCCATTCATATTTTCATCGAATGGGTTAGATAGTTTAAAAATAAGGGATAAATTAGAAATTACTAATAATATTGTCAAATAAAAGCTTTGAAGCTAATAAAAGTAATGGTAGGTATTTGGTTGCACGCAATTAGAGAAGTTGTTTCGGTTCGATGGTCCATTTTAAGTCCCGGATACGAGGTGCTGCCAAAGCCTTGAACCCAAGGCAGAGGAAATGAAAAAGTGTAATACTTGTAAAAATATGTCACCCCAAGTCCCAACAGTTTCTTCTTTATTAGTATCTTTTTTGCTTACCAACGTAGAACTGAGATACCTCAACCAAGTCAAATTTTGTCACTTGTACGTTAAAAACCTCTATATTATCTTTACATTCAAATATTTAACGTATTAATTAACTTATAATTTTCTACCTAAAAATAAGATTCGAATTTTTTCTATCTTAATTAAAAAAAAAACCCTCTATATTCTCCTTTGTTTTTTACTTCATAACTAAATAAAATCAGATTTGAATTTTGGCAACAAGCTAGAAAAGTTAAAGCACTTATTGCCATTAATCAAGTAGACATTTAATCTTAAATAATAATAAAAGCAGAGATTAATGATACATCCTTGTGCACCCCACTTATCAGCAGAAAGTAGAAAGTGAATTCGTCCCTAATTCCCTCTCAACACTCACTTGTACAAACTTTTGACCTAAGTGGAATCAAACATGTTTCCAAAAAAAGAAAAAATAAATCAATTATCCAAATACCTTAAACCCTTCTGGCCTTTATAGCCGACAAGCTGTCTTTTTTGAATGGTGCTGCTAGTGTTCAACATATATATCGGTACAACATCACTTTGCTCATTAGCCGGCTAAGTGTGGGTATGAAGTATCTGGCATTTTTCCTATAATAAAGCATATCCAATCTATAACGCCCAAGATTAAATCAAAAGAAATTGTAATTTAAATAGGTAAGAAAAAATTAAAAATGAAAATGGGGAAAAAAATAAGAAGGAAAAAACCACTTATGTACACATAAATTGAGTCGGTCAAACCTCAAAACCCAAAAAACTACTAAACTTGACTCTCAGGCCGGAGCCTGTCCGATGATTGTTCACCCAAGTTCGCCTCCCCACCAATAAACAGACGATCAAACGGCGATTTAATGGATTTAAACAAACCCTTCACCGGATTAGCCAATGCCTCATCACCATCCCCACCAGTACCGGCCACCGGTTTTGGTGACCTAAGCGATCCTGTTCTAGAAAAAAACGGAGGAGTGATAGTGAGACCCCACCGATCCGGCCGATCGAACCTCTCGTAATTCCTCCCTAAACTCCTACTCCTATAACCCCTTCTCGAACTCCTCGCTCTGGGGAACGCCACGCAACTATTAGAACGGCTAAAATTCGAGTTCATCAACTGGCTCCGTACATCCTCCGGTAACCTTAGCGTAAACCGCTCACAATTCTCACCCGGCTGAACCAGCAAGTGACCCGTCGAGTGAGACCGCGGAAACAACCGGGTCAACATCCATCCCGTCGACCGTGACCTTGGCGGCCTGTTCTGAATTATCGGCGTGTTTGAATTTACTAAATTCACATCGGGAGATTCTACATCCCTTCTCTGATTAACAGCCTCGGTCCGACTCATTTCATCTCTGGCATTATTGTTGTCGGGTCGGTTTTCGAGCTCTAATTCCGAACCGTATGCTTGGACCGTGGGGCAGCTGATGTCCTCACCGGGTTTTGGAGCCAAATTGGCGCGGCAAACGGGACACGTGGAATGTGACAAGAGCCAAGCGTCGATACAATCGGGATGAAACACGTGGCTGCATTTAGGAATCAAACGCAGAGTTTCGTCGTCTTCAAACTCGTTCAAGCAAACGGCGCACTCGAGCGTGTCATTTCCGATCTTGAGTCCTTTGACCATCGAGTAAAGAAACGTCGGGAAAGACTCGATCACCGACGCGTCGAGCCCACGCGTCAACCTCCTCGAGCGCCTCCCGAAATTTACAGAGGCATCCCAGTTCCCGCCACGCATCCTTCTTTCGGCGCACTGCCTGATGTAAACAGAAAAAAATCCTATGAAGAAAAACGCCGTCACTAAAATCACCATCACTATCGCCATTGATGGGTTGAATTTGGGTCCGCTAGGGTCGTAGGAATTCGACGGTGGCGGTGGAGCAGGGATCGTTTGGCTTTGCGCGTTGACAACGAGAAGAAACAGAGAAAGAAGAGGATTGAGTTTGCCCTTGCCATGCATGGGGGTCCATGGTTCTGCCTGCAAAGTCGAAGGAATGAACGGCTACGATCTCCTCGATTCATCAGATGGTGAAGAAGACAGCAGTGGGTGGAGGGTTGTTTTTGTTGCTGCTGCTGCTCCTGATGATGCCGCTCATGAGCTTACGAAACAGTATTGTGATTTAGCTTTGTTTTAATGATTTTCTTGTTGCTCAAAAGCAACGCAAAGTATAAAGCTAAAAATAAAAAGGCCGAATTGAAAAGAAAAAAAAAATGCTTCGCGCTAATACAGAAAAGGGGGGAAAAGGAAAGAAAAGTACGGTATCTCATGAAACAGGTAGATATAAAAGGGACAATAAAACTTGTTACCACGCGCAAATTGCGCGTGGTGTTCGAAATTAGGATTTCGTGGGCCTTTAGACAAGACAAAAAGAGATCTGTTGTTCGATGGGTGGTTTTGGGCTTTGACATTGAGATCGGAAAGGGTGGCCCACGAGAGGAACAAAATTCCTGCGTAGATGAAGAGGGCCTGTGGAAAATGTTGACACGTAAGCACTAGGAAAGCTGTGTTTGGTTAAGACGAGGAAAATTTGCTGATTCCGTTTTGTCTATTCCTACCAACTGCGACGTGTATGCGATCGTATCAAGAATTTTCAAGCTTCCCCGCTGCGATTTCACCTATAAAGTTAAATTTCTAGTGGAATTTGGCCAATTTGGGGGAATAAGAATTCCCGCTGTTTTTCATTTTCTCCGATAGCCAATGGCTGTATTCACAACTTCCACACTTGAATGTTAGTGTTTGGAACCAATGGTTTTATTGTTTGGCTGCTAGTACGGATTGACATGTTCCTTTCATAGCATCACTTCAATTGAAAATTCACATATTCTAAGAGTGGGTAACGTTAGTTTTAAGCTACATCTTCAATTCTAACGAAACGTTGGAAATATTTGATTCTGGATAAGCATGCATGATATGCATAATCCAAATACGAATCTCTTTCCGTTTTTAAAATTGAATCATGCTTCCAACACTACAACGGCTTGGTGGAACCTGGACAGGTTCCTGGTACTACTTGGCTACGCAAGTTGGAAGAAAAATCAGGATGAGGGAATGAAGCACAAGATTCAGGACTGAAAGTAAAAGGAAAAAAGAGTGACGAAAGACGCCAAGGAAATTGAATTTCAAGCCAAGTTTAGGCCCCACCTCAGGAAAGCTCGAGCCTTGTAATATATGGTAGTCATTTTCAGTCTCTTGTGTCTTCCCATGCAAATTCAAATACTGCAAATGAATTCATGATCAACAGCGTAATTGATTGCTACGGCTTCAAATGGTAAATTTATTCCAGTCAAACTACGAAACTATGTGACCTCTCCGGGAGGTTTCCGGGCATGAAAGTGAATCACAGCACAAAGTAATTAGTTCAATGGCAGATAGTAGAAGTGATTTTAAAGCGAAGGCAATCACTATATATTCCCTGGTGTTTACTAACAATTATATATTGAGTCACTGACTTCCATCACGAATCCCTATTATCTAAGGAATTACTGGTTTGTTTAATGGATAAGCCTTCTCTTTTGACTTGTTAAACTATATATGTAGTAAACAATTAATTATTATCCTCAGAGTCAGACCATCATTTCATAATCTTAGTTCAACAATGTTATCCAATCTACATCAAAACAATAAAAAGATAAGGCCAGGAGGGGGAATATCCGCCATCTAGGTATTCATACCTTAATCAGACCTGCCTCTTTCTGCTTCAGTACTGAATAACTTAATTTGCTCATGCTCCAAAGTTACCACGTCGCCAATCTGATAAAATTCCCAGCATTTAATTTGCTGTTTGTACTTAATGCATCAACCTTAAAATTCTAGAACATGAGGAAGAAGTTGAGAGCAGAACCAACCCATTTCCCATTACTCACAACACAAACATAAAACTTAGCTAGTTTTCTAACAGAGAAAGGCACTGCCTCTTATTGCGAAGACTGGGAAGAAGAAGAAGAAGAAGAACACAGTCCAAGATATTTCCAAAGCTTTATCCCCAGAGAAGACACAAGTCACTGCAGTTATACGTAAAACAACAATCAAGAATCAATAAGCAACAAAAAACCATTAAACCTTTTGATTTTTCTTTTAAAAAAGGAAATTAAATAAAAATAGAAAAGAGAAATGTATTTTTGAGAATAACAAATGCCTATTTCGTATAGTATACAATAATAACAAGAACTAAAACATAAATCTATGTTAATTAAAGATGACTTCCTTTTTATTTTTTTCTATTTTTTCGTACTTTTCCATGTTATCTATATGAATTATAGAAATAATTTATTTATTTATTTATTTTTTCATAAATAATATATATAAATATAAAATGAAATGGCTTACCACCCAAATAGTAATTGTTCGATTATTAGATAACCAATGAAAAGTTTCCTTTTATGAACCTCGATTCAGGGCATTAAATTTCTAAAACTTTTGAAACTTTTTTCTAATAAATACAAGAGAATTTTAGGATATTCCCATGCGCTTCATTGAAGTTGAATGTAATTTCAATTCAGTGCTCTATAACTAGTCGACAATCTATAATATAATATAATATAATATAATAAATAAATTAATTAAGCAATAAGGATGAGGAAAGTAGTGAATAAGGCCAGCTTGATGTGAAATTGATAAGCATGGACATTGTTCTAGATGATAAGTGATATTTGTATTAAATATTAAACCGTCCAATTCATACAACAAATAAATTGATGGACCTGCTTTGAGTCTTGATTGACTTATTCGTCCATCTATCAATGAGGTAAGGCTTAGATTGTTGAATTGGCTGAGCTTCTCATAAATTTCTCTCATTTCTGATGGTTGAATTTAAGATTTTTAAATTAAAATTTTAATTTTATAATTTAAACTATTGAATTCCCCTCAAGTATATATTGGTTTAATACGTAAATACATTAAAAAATGACTTATACCCCTTCGTTATTAAAAAAATTGTTATTTTCGACATGTCCAATAAAAGTAAGTATGATTAAGACAGATAATAAAAAAAAAAATTCTTCTTTAAATTCCAAGTGAGGACAAGAGTAACAATAAAAGATTATCGGTACTATCATTTTTCTGGTATACCAAATTGAATGCTAAATAATTTTGACAAAGTCTTCGCATGAGCTGATTATTGTCCCATTCTTTTAACTTAGAGGTCACCAGTTGACCAAGTCCTTTGCCCCATGGAGTTCCATGATCAGTCGTGAAGCATGCTCAGCGTGCATGCCAAACTGAAGAGAAAAAAGGTGGGGAATCTTTGAAAATAAAGACCTTATGTTTAACGTGGCACCCTCGTCTCCTTGTCCTAAGTCCTACCGACAATGAGACTTGATTGATCAGATGATTTTCTTCATTTTTGGAAGATGAAATTGTGTGACAGGATCCACAATATTGTCTATATGTAATTAAACAACCTTGGACTCTTGGCATTTGTTCTTTTCTGCTTGGCCGAGTTGATAGTAACATGGCATATAATCTCATATGTCATATATAGTCCATGGTTTTATGTGGTGTTTTGTAAAGGATATAAAAGTTTAACGCCAAAGTAAATAATTTATCCCTTTGGTGCATGCTTTCATTTTAGAATGAAGGAAATCCAACATTGATAATCGCTTAGTGCATGTTCATGCAGGATAATAGCAACTTGAACCCATATTCCAGCCCAAAGTTAACCCAGAAGAAGGTTCAGCTTGTAACTTATAGGAAACACACAATTGGACCCATGAACTACATTTGAGGCCTCCTTGTCCTTTCCTCCTTCCTCGCCAATTTTGGGCCGTTTCTTCCTGGACAACGTGCTACAAGGACAAGCCTTTTCGTGGTGTTGGACTTGGATCAAGCATTTTGGTTCTTCAACAGATTGCTCCTACCGCTTTCTCATATCCTTTTGGAAGAAACATGCTTGCATAGTTGCATTGCATCAAATTCCTGAAACTAATAAACAATGATGTTAAGTGACCTGGTTCATCCCAACCTACAACACTTTGATTCATTAAATTTCATAATTTTATTTTTTTTAAAAAAATATTTCACAAGTTGAAGGTAATATGAACACTTAAAAGACACAGTCAATATGAATCCATAACTTTTTGCTAAGAGTGTCACATTAATCTTATTGCAAAACTTCATTGTTTTATCCACATATGCAAAAGTGAATCCAATAAAGGAGTGAATTTTTTTTCCCTTCTAGTTATAATACACATAATATATACATGCATGGGAATGGAAGTGAATTGATAGTGTGTATATAAACAAAGATGTCTTTTACACAGCTAAGATAGATACCCAGTAAGAACATAGCTAAGACATTTAACAATATATCACACAAAAACCCTTTGCCAATTCTCCTTTCATTTGCATTTAAATGTCTAACAACTCCATTATATTTCCATCTAAATCAATGAGTAGATAGGTAAAGGGATGGAGGAAAAATATGGAAATTGGTTACATCATGTGAAAAATATAGTGAAATACAAAGGATTCCCTCATTTCTTAATTATATTATTAGACATTAAACTTCTATTAATGTAGGTAAGCCTCAAATCAACAGACTATATAATTTACTTTCCTTGCAACCCTTTTTGTCCCTTCTTCGTTTTTAAAAGACAAAAACACCCTTTGTATACCTACATATGTTAGAACATGTGGTTATTTGATTCATAAATCATACAAAAAAGACATCTGCTAACACCACCACATGTCCGAACCAATTCTCAATTTTGTCCTTGTCTTGTTGTAAAGTTAAATGGATACAAACTGTAACTGCCCTTTTTCACCAAAGGTGAAAGTTTGATACCTTTGGCTTTTGGTTTAGGTGAGGCACCCCAGAATAGGCAAAGGGTAATAAAAACAAAGGGAAAAGACAATATGATTGCAGGAAATTTCAAAGTCGTACCAAAGAAACAAGAGAAAATAATTGCAAGCAGCACTACAAAATGGCCTGTAGCTATTATTTCTAATTTCTAATTGAAAACGGAATAGTATTATAAGCAGAATTAATCAGACTGATGATCAGCTTTTAGAATATAGTTCTGCGTACTTTTTCTGTGTGCCAGACAACGGAACCTAGTACGTCAGATAACATGATTCCTTTGTCCAATTATCGACAACGTTGAGAACAAAAATTAAAGAGAAAAAAAAACATATTTATTGGATTGAGCTCATGTTTTTTTTGTGGCGCGGTTATGGAAGAAGGTGAGGCGGTCCAGGAGGCGGCCCCTTGTTTTTGTGGTTCGGGGTGCCGCGGTTTCGCCGCGCTGCGGCCGGGCCCTGACAAGAATCATGTGGATGAGCTTTGGACCACTTGTATGGCTCCCAGTAACCCAATTTGTTCCTTGTGCAGATTGAATCAGACGAATCAGGAAATCATCATCCCCATCTCATATTCTTACTTGGGGTTCTACGTACTACAAACTGAACAGTATTGCCACGTAATCCTTTTTGGCTTTGTTATGCTCCTCCTCCTTTTTTTTTTCCTTTTAAAATTTTTTAATCAACAAGATTTATTTATTTATAGTTTATGAGTGGCTGAGTGTTTCTCTGGAAATCTTTAAATCTGCTCACTTTGGGGCAAAGACAAATAAAACTATCAAGTTGGAGCCTACTAC